GGAGACTCACGAGCTTCGTAGTACTGGGTCGGCACTGTGCATGATAGGGCTTTGTCCCCCTCCACTGCCTGCCATTTATCTCGTACCCAGAACCAGGACTCCTTCCACCCCTTGATAGAGGAAGGAAGTCCTACCACAAAGGGTGCATGAGCCCCCCAAAGCGTGAGGTAGTACCACCCCCTTGACTCCTTCCTAATTACTCGAGGCTGGAACAAGGTCATGAACACATGAAGAGGCATGTCCTCCCCAAGTGACACTTCCTTCCACAGGAAGTACGAGCCGACCAGCTGGCTCCACCCATTCGGCAGATCCTGGGTCGGCGACAGCATGAATTTCCTAAGCACCGCCCTAAAGAAGGGGTGCAGAGGAAGACGCATACCTGCCTTGAACAGGTATTCACTCACGGCCACGCAGCCAGGCCTCGGATAGCAGGCCCGCTCGTTCGGCTCGGGGACTAACATTTCTATGTAGTGGGGTACACTGTACCTCTCTCTAAGTTCCCCCAACCTCTTCCCCATCATATTCGAAGGCACTCTAGAAGCCCCCCACTTCTGGGTATAATCTATAGGCTCCTTGGCCATGGCATACCTATCCACCTCAGACATCCCCCCGTGACCGACCCCATAGTCTAAAGACGCCACTGTAATAAGCTCCCTACCCGAAGTGGACTCCATTCTCTCAGTAAAAAGACAGTAACAAGGGTTTTTGTGCAAACAATACCTAAGGGAATTCGACACAAATGGAGACTGGCCGGAATTTAATATCACGGTCAACCTCGACGCCGGAAAATTTGGAGATTTGAGAGAGTTTCAGAGTGCAAAGTGTTCAAAAATCCTGAAAATTGGGATTTTCTCGCCTTTTATAAAGGTCCAAGACAAACCCCAGCCGTCAAATCAAATCTCAGTCAATCCGAGCCCTCCATTTCAGATCCAATCCGAGGCGTTGAATTCAAACGGTTTTTAAATCCTACGCTTCAGATTTATGCGTGCCTCCCACGCACCTCTCCAACGCGTCTGCTTCTAGAAGCGCCAGCTGCCCTCATAATTGCATTTTTAATTCGACGGCAGCAGCGCCTTGGAAGTCGTAACGGTTCAGCCACTTTTTCTCGAAAATAAGCACAAAACATCAAATCATTGGCACAGCAGCCAACGCACAATCATTACCATTGGACCTCGGCAAGCCTCGCAGGTTCGGTTCCTCAACCACCTCGGCAAGTCTCGCATTTTCGGTTCCTCAACCACCTCGGCTTCCTCTTCGCCATTCAGCAATCAAGCCTCGCAGATTCGGTTCCTCAACCACCTCGGCTTTCTCTTCACCATTCAGCATCAAAGCCTCGCAGGTTCGGCTACTCAACCACCTCGGCTCATCTTCAGAGTTCAAACACCTCGCCTACTTCATCGCTCACCCACAGCAACACTTCTCAAACTCCAACCATGATATAAATATCTACACTTGGACTTGGGGGACTATTATTTGGGGTTCAAAAATTCTTTCAACTTTTACTCCATTAAAGTCCACGCATTACATTAATGATTATACTTGGATTTGGGGGACTATTGTTGTGTGTTGTCACACCTGTCCTACCCATCTGGGCCAATGGCCCACTCATCCTGATCCACGTGGCATTCTTGCCGAGGTGGGTTATATCCGAAGTGCTTCAAGCCGAGGTCCATCCGTCGAGGCTCCTCGATCCGATGTACTCTGCCGAAGTCCAACTACCGAGCCCCATGACCCGAAGCATGGAACCTATTGAATTTAGCTGAGGTCCTCGAGTGGAAGTTTTTGTCATATGGTCGAAGCCTCGAAGCTGATGCACGAGCCTCTTAACCACAAGGAGCTTCCTCCACAGTCACTTCTCCCAAGAGATCGCCTGCTCAGAGATCTTATTCGAATGACTGATGGAACGTTTATCACAAGCATAAAGGTCAAGTCTTGTCACTAGTATGGAGGACTTGCGCAAGCAATAAATGCGCCGCAAGCTAGCAAGTCAAGCCCCATACCTAAGAAAAGACGTTTGAACTAAAGAGATGAGGCCACGTGCCACTTCATTCAAGGGCTCCCATTTCATATGTATCACTATAAATACTTCCATTGTGTAATATCAAAGGCTAATGCAAGAATCAATGCTAAAGACTACATTTACTCAACTCTCTCTCATTTACTTGCAATACACAAATCGAGTTTATACACTTTTACATATACATTCACGAGCACCGGTTGGTAATTATTGTACAATCGGATTACGAACAACCCGTCGGATTCCGAACGTCACCGTCCCGCGTCGTTGGGCTACTCCCACGCCCCTTTGAACCGCTCGTTTTAGACTGTCCACGTGTCTTAGCGTGTTGGACATTCGCCCACGCAAGCGCGGGTGGGACCGACATCTGTTGGCGCACTTTTTGGGGTCAACATACATTATTTCATAAAAACTTTTATTCATATGTGTGTGTGTGTGTGTATTTTAACAATTTGAATTTTTCCTTTAACAATATCAATTACCTTAACTATTTTAAAAAAATAATATTAGTACTTCAAAAACATTATGATATCATTCATTCGATACATAAGACATGCAATACACGTGCTTAGTACAAGTATATTCTAAAATAGAATACCCAACTAATTATCATTAACAGTGCAGGCGAACACAGGATCAAAAGTAGTGGCAACAGAAATTTTTAAAACTCAATTGACTTAAATTACGGCCATTTTTGTGTCGGTATATTATTCAACCTGGTGCTTCTGCTTATATATTTTTCTGCATTAACAAGTTAAATGTACAAAATTTTGGACACTTGAGTTGACTGAGAATTGTGAGGTCAATTGGGGAGACAAATTGCCATGTTCTTTTGAGTTTATTAATTCAATTAACATCACATCTAAGTTGTATTCAAGGTTATTTGAAAGGACAAGATATAATAGATGTTGACTATAAATTGGAGGAAGAACCTCCAAGTAAAGGGAATTTTTATCAAAGTCAATACGTCAAACCCCCTGTTATTGACCCTGTAAAAAATCTCTTGTACCTGTATTGCTTCTCTAAATTGGAATATTATTTCTGACCAACAAACAAATACAATTAATCTCCAAGTACAGGGGATTGTTTTCACAGGGGCTTGTCAGGTCCCTCATCATAGCAGACGGGCCCCACATGTAATTAAAAAAAAAATTGATGGCCCGATTGAGTGTGTGTCCTGACAGGTCCCTGTACTTGTAGTTTCATTGAAACAAATATGTGGTCTTGATTTATTGATAATATTTCTAATTTGATAAGGGTTTGTTTGGCCATGTTTTTTTTTTTTTTTTTTTTTTTTTTTTTTTTTTTAAATTTTTAGTAAAAGAGTTTCTTCCTCTAAAAAATCTTCTAGCACTATCTAAAAAATTATCCAGACATATTTTAAGAACTGTTTCTTAGCTTCACAGCAATTTTTGAATTTTCAAAATTATGTTAGACGGGCCCCTAAATTATCACGGGCTGCGGCGCAAAAGGGACATTTCAACCAACTATGAAGACAAGTATCACTTTCAATTCCACTTCACGAGGTTTTGATTATTAGCTTTTCAATCCCGTTACAATGATCAAATTTTTTTGACATAATGACTTACTAGTACTCACAATGGGGGAAGCTTTTCTTTGGACTTTTTTATGAATCATGCTACATAATCATAGAGGATGATACTTCGGTTGACATAGCACATACACATGGGGGAGGTCGGGATTATTTTATTCATGGGGACCCACACCTCGATTGTGAGTTCTATGTCACACATTGTGTCAAAGTCTATGTTTGTTTGGCTTAATTCCTTTTTTATTCACACGGGAACTGCGCTTATGAGAGAGGATGTCAATCATTATGTTAAACAAATTCGGTCAAAGTAGTTTAATTCTTAGAGTTTACACCTCTACCTTTCCGAAACTTGCAAAAATGTCCTTGAAGTTAAAATAAATATTTGTTTTTTATTTACCTTTGAATACACGACAAAGAGAAGCCAGTGGGTATAGTTAGGGCTGTAAGCAAAAATCGCAAAATCGAAAAATCGAACCAAAACCGTATTTTAGAAACCATCGGTTTGGTGCCACGTGGACCCGGTCAACGAAATGGTTTGACCCAAACCAAACCGGTCAAAATGGTTTGGTTTAGGTTTGAGAAATTTAATTGCGGTTTAAAACCAAACCGGACCGGCGAAAAAATATATAAAAATAAAAAAATGAAATTTTTTGAAAATTTATTCAAATATGTAAAATTCAATAATTTTGTCATTTGTGGGTATTTTTGTCAATTTCTAATTTTCTAATACAGATATATTATTATTATCCAATAATCCTAATATATATCTAATAATTTCAAGACTAACATAATCTATCAAAAGTCTTTTTCCTCCTTAGAATTTAGATGAACTCCAATCGACTCCCAACACAGTCTTGAGTCATCGGTACCACACACTTCTTTTTCAAAATTTTCACATCTTTTCAAAGTTGAATTAAGTCCATTATACCAAATCGGAGACAAAGAGATTCTAGACTTTCGATGATAATATTTGCTACAAATAAAGTTTCAGATCAATAATTTTTTTGGAGCAAATTAAGGTAAGAATCTAAAATTAAATACGTTTCGTAACATCATACAAACGTAAATTTGTGTAATTGTTATATTTAGATATTATAAACAATTGCTTTATTATTGTGGTTGGTTATTCTCTTTATTTAATTAGTATCATTTTTTCAGATATGATAATCACGAGGTCTTATTAGACATAATTATATTTTTTGGGCATTATATCTAGTTTAGTAGACTTTTATTGTAACGTTATTGTGTCATCATTAGCCTAAAAAGGTGAAAAAAATGAAAAAAAAACTATGTTTTAGTTTATTGTGATTTCACTTTGATTTTGTTGGTATTTAAATTTATAGTAGATATATTTAGCTCATGTTTGAACCATATTTTCCATATCATCATAATGAGAAAATTAACCGTTGGAGAGGAGGCTGGGTCCCACACATGAAACAGCAGGTCAGCAAAGGCGACTGGACTTGTGGGATAACGGTCCAAATTTTCATTTTTTTATCCCAAAAATTTGATTCAAACAGGGGCTTAATTTGTTTTCGATTTATTACTAGTAAGATATAAATATATATTGAATTTAATAAATTAATGACATAAAAGCAGACGGACAAAAAAATATATCGCGAAACCGGACCAAACCGTTAGGTTTAGGTTTGAGTTTTTTTTAAACCGTTCAAAATGGTTTGGTTTAGGTTTGGGTTTTTCTCAAACCGTTTTAAACGGTTTTGTTTGAAAATTTGTCAAAAACCAGTAAAATCAGACCGCTTACACTCCTAGGTATAGTGTTGGCAAGACGGCATTTTTAATTTTTACACCTTCAATTTCTGCCTTGGTGGCCAAAGCTAATCGAACAAATAGATTGACTTGAGAAACTTGACAGTATGTCTATCCGAAACAAAGCAATTGTAATTTGTAGGTGAAAGAAAAGGGAGAATCTTCACAGACAAGCTGTCACCAATAAAAAGTGTGACCCCCCGTTTGTCTTCCATTAATCAAAAAATGAGAATAAAAAATATAATAATTACGGACCCCACATAAAATATAGAAAGTCAAATATGATGGCTTAATATGATGAGTAAAGATCATATATTTTTTATTTTTGTGGCAAAAGAATGGAAATCAAACAAGAGCTTATTCTATTAAGATTATTTCGATAGGATTATTTATTTTTTTTATCTTTTTTCATTTTTTGGTTCAAATCTTTCTAAAAATTCTAATTGAAAAGAATCTTATCTAGTTTGAACATTCATGTCCATGGTCAAAACTTTCAAGACATTTCACTTTCTTGCCAAAAAATTCATTGCCACGTTTTATGATGCTTTTAAATAAGAGGGCTATGTATCTTGGAAATTCACATTGTTTTAGTTCCTCATCAAGAAAAAGAAAATAAAGTACCAAATTGAAACAATCTTGAAACTTGAGGGTTCAATTAATTCAAATTGAATATGCTGAGAGTAGGTTAAGATTGTTCAAAAAGAGTACATAAATTTCAAGATTCAGACTGTTTGGTGTGTCGATAGGCCCAATTCTAAAACTTCAAAAATATCTCTTTTTCGTGAAAATTCCAGTATGTACGTAGAATTTTGATCCCTACAAGAATGAACAAACTAATACCTAATACTAACATCATTATTTGTTGAAAAGTGCTACATGTACATAATTGTCTACATAATAATATTCATGATTACACGTGGTATTGGATCCAACCTTTAATTCAAATCTCACACTCGAACATCAACAATCGGATGATTGTTACATCACATTATGAACACCATTATGTGCAATAATTATGTACAGGTAGAATTTTCCTTATTTGGTCATTAACTGTTACACCCAAAATTGTATGTACTTTCTCATGGGAAATTTCCATGTTTTTATAGTCTCTCTAGTACACACTTTACCCACATTGACTGTGAGTAGTACAACAATTATCCCAAATTTATCGTACGTTAAGTCTCGAGACTTGTATGTAACAAGAATATATGTTCATTGGATCATTGTTCAATTCCCTGAAAGAATGGCTCGGTATATTCTGATTCTCGTGTTCACTCTACTCTTCCTCGTTGTCTCGCCTCCGCGCACGGCGGAGATTCCAATTCGCCATCAGAGAAGCCCAACTTGAGATCTCGGTCTCTGATTCTGGTGAAAATATGGTGCCTGATACTGGTGTTTGTTGAGACTTTTGTAGGGGGGATTTCGCCCTACTTCATGATGTGGAACGAGGTTTTTTGGAAACTGTTTCGCGCGGGTTAGTCGCTAACAATTAAAAAAGGATCAGACGATTGTGTAAGGGACAAACCTCTTAAAACAAAGTCCCAAAAAGAGGCGTTTTTATTGGCGATGAGTTTACAATTGGAAAGTAAAAACAGAATGCATCCAAGAGGCGCAAGCACACGAGTTACTGTAAAAGAAGTGTTTAAATCTAAACTAAAAAATTGAAAGTTACATATTCTCTATTTGAGAGTGTTTGATTCGGGGTCCTTTGCTCTATGTCTTTTCTTCCTTTTATACTCCCTGGATGATTTCTTCGTGATCGACCGCTTAAAAAACTGCTTGATCGCTTTATAACTGCCTACTTTCCTTGTAATGGCCAACTTGTCATGGAACTGCCTTCTCTAACTGCTGCCATTACTTTTGTCGTTCAACCGTCTTCAATTGAATTTCTTGAATCGTGGAACGTGATAGGACTACCCAATAACTGCTTCATTAACTGCACTTTTGGGTGACCATAACTTCTTATGTTTGCTAAGATGCTGGGCGACTTGAATGTTTGGACAAGAGCAAAGTCACAGCTCTGGGCGACTGCATGGCAATTCATTTGCTCAAATCATGGTATTTCTGCGTTCATGGGCTTCCTTATTTGGACCTTTATCCTACATTGCCTGACTGGGTCGTTCTTTGGGCTATTTGATTTTGGGGATCTTCTAATTGGGCTTCATTCCTTGGGCTATTCAACTTGGGCTGAACTTTTTGTGTGTCAACAATAACTGGGACGCAATTCGCTGGTGGGGTTTTTTTTTTGGGGACTGCTTTGATGCATTTCTTGAGTGATTCTAATGAGACATTTGGGGACTTGACTGAAAAAGAATACCCATTTGCATTTATGTTGGCGAGTGCTGGATATTTGTTAACTATGTTGGCTGATTCTGTTATTTCTTATGTTTATGGGAAACAGAAGAACAATTTTGATCCTCAAATCCAAGGTATATCATTTTTATCCTTTGTTTGTATAGAATGATGTGAAGTATATGCATTGGATTCATCAAAGAAACTTGATTGTCAATGCTAAATTTTGTTTTATAGAACAGTAAGAGGGGAATTTGAAAAATGCATAATTAGGCCCCATTTGACAGGTTTTTTGAAAAATTAAAAGATGTTTCTTATACTGAGAAACTGATTTTGTGTGCCTTTCCAACATATTTAAATAATTATTTTGGAAGTGCTTATTTTGGTTAGAAGAGCTATTATGTGAAGTTGGCCTAAGCAAAATCAAAAGCTTTGCCAGAGGGGCTCCAATTTCCCCAACAAACATGTAGATACGAGAAGAATTTGATTGGCTTTTGAGCTAGGACCATGCTACACAAACATAATGGTTGACATGTGGGATGATCGAACACTCACACCTCAGGGGTCGGCATTATTTTATTCACGCGGGGTCCACACTCCATGCGAGGGTCGGTCACCCATTTTCGAGCACTTCGGCATTATTCTTTGAGCTAATAGAAAGTGTCCCACATCACGAAATTTATGCTTTACGGCAAGATTGTTGGCTACTTAATGTTTTCCTTTCAATAAGATTCCAAGCGTGACAATTAAAACAGAGGCAAATTCAATTTCCTTTACTAAGAACTAGAAGAACATAAGATCTTAGATTGGTTTCCCTTGATTTTACGAATCAAGCTCGAGTAAGAGCAATGTATAGCTTTACATAATCCGACAACGGATGTTTTATCTATATTTCTTTCCCACTGCAGGTTCTCGCAAGGAAAAAGGCTCCGTTAACGGAATACCTTCACACTCGCAGTTGCGGGTTAGTTAGCAGGACCTACACATATATTCCTCAGTGGTTAATCCAAGGTATATCATTTTTATCCTTTGTTTGTATAGAATGATGTGAAGTTGTTTGTTTGGATTCATGTGAAGTATATGCATTGGATTCATCAAAGAAACTTGATAGAACAGTAAGAGGGGAATTTGAAAAATGCATAATTAGGCCCCATTTGACAGGTTTTTTGAAAAATTAAAAGATGTTTCTTATACTGAGAAACTGATTTTGTGTGCCTTTCCAACATATTTAAATAATTATTTTGGAAGTGCTTATTTTGGTTAGAAGAGCTATTATGTGAAGTTGGCCTAAGCAAAATCAAAAGCTTTGCCAGAGGGGCTCCAATTTCCCCCAACAAACATGTAGATACGAGAAGAATTTGATTGGCTTTTGAGCTAGGACCATGCTACACAAACATAATGGTTGACATGTGGGATGATCGAACACTCACACCTCAGGGGTCGGCATTATTTTATTCACGCGGGGTCCACACTCCATGCGAGGGTCGGTCACCCATTTTCGAGCACTTCGGCATTATTCTTTGAGCTAATAGAAAGTGTCCCACATCACGAAATTTATGCTTTACGGCAAGATTGTTGGCTACTTAATGTTTTCCTTTCAATAAGATTCCAAGCGTGACAATTAAAACAGAGGCAAATTCAATTTCCTTTACTAAGAACTAGAAGAACATAAGATCTTAGATTGGTTTCCCTTGATTTTATAAATCAAGGTCGAGTAAGAACAATGTATAGCTTTACATAATCCAACAACGGATGTTTTATCTATATTTCTTTCCCACTGCAGGTTCTCGCAAGGAAAAAGGCTCCGTTAACGGAATACCTTCACACTCGCAGTTGCGGGTTAGTTAGCAGGACCTACACATATATTCCTCAGTGGTTTTCTCAATGGATTTTGATAACATTTTTCTGCAATCCTCTATTAGGTCAAGACCGATACTAAAGAAAATCTAGCTAAACATTCCCTCACGAGTGCTACTTCACTCAGAGATGACATCTTGTTAATTTTCGCACTGTGCTTTCATTCGGTGTTTGAGGGCGTTGCGATTGGAGTAGCCGAGACAAAGGCAGATGCTAGGCGAGCCCTTTGGACCGTCTATCTACACCAGATATTCGCCACAATTGCAATGGGGATAGCTCTTCTTAGGATGATTCTGGATCGTCCACTATTATCTTGTGTAGCTTATGCTTTTGCATTCGCCATATCAAGTCCTATCGGCATTGCCATTGGAATTATAATAGATGCAACGACACAGGGAACTATTACAGACTGGATTTACGCGATATCTATGGGTCTGGCTTGTGGGGTTTTCATCTATGTGTCGATTAGCCATTTACTGTCAATGGGTTATAAGCCTCAAAAATCGGCGTCAATCGATATGGCACACCGTAAGTTTCTGGTTGTGTTGTTCAGTATTGGCGTGATTGTCGTCATAATGATTTGGGATACTTAAGCTTCCTTTGATGTTTCTTGAGTACATGTAAACATGAGTGATATGTAATATTAAATCAAACACGGTTAATTTCAATTAGTTACTGTGATATTGATATTTACAATGGAGCTCATTGAACTTTCATCCTTATTGCAAAAGGATCTCTGAACTTCAATTTCAAGCAATCAAGTCACTAAACTTTAAATTCAAAAGAAATCATGGTACTATCTTTAAATTCTGTTAGTGTGCCTAAAGGAATTCCACACATGTACGAAAATACTAATGAAATTGCTAATGCGATAATGACAAGAAAAGCCATCTCATTTTACTTTTATTTTTTTTTAATTCAATTTCAATTTAAGAACATAAAATTAAAATAAAAAATAAGATTTGAAGTGGAATCCAGAAGTTGGGTTTTCTTTCTATGCCCCCGTTTGAGCCACATTATTGTAAAAATGAGAATAAAAAATATAGTCGTTATGGACCCCACATAAGAGATAAAAAGTCAAATGTGGTGGCTTGATATGAAGGATAACAATCATATTTTTTATTTTAATGGAAAAATAATGGGGCTCAAACCGGCCCTATATATTCTTTTTCGTTTCAGGAATTTAGAACAATATAGTTCCACCCATAAGATGAAAGTTTGGTGACAAGATACTACACACTTAAACATGGAGGACTGCACGTGCAATTATCGTCTTCAATAATTGTATATTTGTAAATTAAAAAATGTTTCATAAGAAATGCTTATTGTTATTATTTCCACCCTCAATGAGTTCTGGATATATGCGAGATTTTGGGTATCTCTCTCTCTCTCTCTCTCTCTCTCTCTCTCCAACACACACCAAATTGAAACCCTGACTCTAGAGGGAGAATGGCTTCAATTTCATTATCCTCACTGTCGGCACCATTTTCGACCTTACCCAATTCCTCCATTAGTAATGGCAGACCCGAGTTTTCTGTTCTCTCTTTGCCTTCCCGAATTTCCTCAAAGTTACATGCCCTGAAACCCTCTCGAGTTTCCCCTTCCAGAACTTTTGCTGTTCCTGAAGTTTTGGAATCCAATGTTGCTTCTGAGGTTTGTTTTGTTGTCGACTGAGTTATAATTTTGTTTGATAATTATGCACTTTTCACATTATTGAGAGGATTTTCTTTTTGGGTTCTTAGGACGAGGCTCCTTCCTCTTCAGTGCTGAGTGTTGGTACAGATTCTGAGAAAGTAACTTCTCTTTTCTTCTTATACATCTTCTAGCTATGTTCTCTGTATTTGGTTATTAATATTGCTTTTGCTTAAATTATAGTAGTAGGATTAATTAGTTGTTGAGTGACATTGCGTATTAATTGCTGCTGTAACTCTCTACTTTATCCTAATTACTATGAGGTAGACCAGTAGAGAAAGAATGGAGTTATGAAATGCAATGGCTCCAATTAAAACACTGTCACTTTTAACATGTTCATATCTAATACTGAATCAATCAGTATTCAGGGCGAAGAATTGTCTGCTATAGGAATTTGGTTTCACATGAGCTTTGTTTATTACATCCCAGGAGAACCTTTCGGGCCCCATTTAGCAGGGCTTTTGAAAAGCCAAAAGCAATTTTGATACTAAGAAATTGCTTTTGAACATGTTTGAATAGTTTCCTGAAAGTGTTTTGTGTGGTGGAGGGAAAACTGATTCTACAAGATGCAGACGCAAAAATATCTTCATGATATTTTAAAGTCTCATGGGGATTATCATCGTATTTTTCTTAAATAAATTTTGAGCGGCATTAGCATCCTAAGGAAAACAAAGAAGCAGCTAAGTGAATTTCATTTAGTCTTTCTTATTATTAAATCAATAAAATCAACCTGTTTACTATGTATATTAAGCCACAGAACATAGCAAATTTCTAAATTCACTTCTTTAACCTTAGATGTCTAGCTATCGCTGACAATGCTGCTCCCTTGTGTTACATAAACAGTACTGAACCTGTTGCACAATTTGAGAAATTGTCTTTCTTATTTAAAGTAAAATTCTTATACCCTCCAATTTTATATGCTTTAATTTTAATAATCTGGAGAGGACATTTTGGTTCTCAGATGGCGCCTAAGCAGAAGATTAGAATAAAACTGAGGTCATACTGGGTTCCTTTGATAGAAGACTCGTGCAAGCAGATTATGGATGCTGCAAAGACAACAAATGCAAAGACCATGGGTCCAGTACCATTACCAACCAAGAAGAGGATATATTGTGTTCTCAAATCTCCACATGTGCACAAAGATGCCAGGTTCCATTTCGAAATTAGAACTCATCAGCGCCTTATTGACATTCTTTATCCAACTGCCCAAACAATAGATTCACTGATGCAGCTTGACCTTCCTGCCGGCGTCGATGTTGAGGTCAAGCTTTGATGATATTACCAGTGGTAACCTTGAATTTCTCTTAGACGTGAGACTAAAAACCGAATTCAGACAAATATTAGTAGGATATAATTACTGTATAATAGTTAAATTTTTCGTGCTATTTTACTTTCTGTGGAGGTTACACTGCCTTTGGAAGTAAATTATTGTTCTGTCTATTGTTTTATGGTCTACATGTGATACTGTCTTAATTGGGTATTTGTTCCATTGATGACAGTATTAAGTTCATTTCTGCACTATTTCTTTATATTGTTGAAGATCAATTATCAATAGGAAAGTCAAAGAGAGGATGCAATTTATTGCTACTCGTATCGTCGCATTACTTCTCACACTTCTTAAGTTGTGTAGCCTATATGTTGTCATTACTCGGAGCCCGTATGCAAATCGACCATTGCGATGAGGTCGCTGGTGGGTTTGGAAAGGGACCTGATAGTTTAGGAATTACACACTTGTAAGATTGTTTTTCCCGTAATTTTTCTAAAGAATAGGGGGTCATCATTAGGATTTATATAACATAATCATGAAAAGAAAGACATAGGTTAAACAAAATAGAGTTTGCAATTTTTCTTTTCTATAAACTTATTTTCATCATAGTAAATTATTGCAACGACGAAAGAAGTCGTAGTATCACATTGGGACAAAAAGATATAAACTTTGTGTATTCTTATGTGTCTAATTTCTTTTTGTGGTTTTGTTGCTTTCGGTGATATAGAATTAGGAACTATTTTCATCATAGTAAATTATTGCAACGACAAAAGAAGTTGTAGTCTCACATTGGGACAAAAAATATAAATTTTGTGTATTCTTATGCGTATAATTTCTTTCTGCGGTTTTTTTGCTTTCGGTGATATAGAATTAGGGTTCCTAATTCTGAACGCTTGTTAAATGACGCTAATGCATACTGGTATGTATGTTTCAGCTGTGTTAACACTGTTGTCAAGTAAGCAAGGAACAATTTATTTGCTTAAAAGTTGTTTACTTTTGACTTGTGTTTTCCTGTTAAAGTTAAAGCTGTGGACAATTCCTCTTTTTAACTCCAAACTTTCCTTCCTTATATGTTAAATGACCGGAACAGGGGAGCAAGCCCTCAAGAACAGTATGACACTGGCATCTCGAGCCATTACATCAGCTGTAGATCGTTAGAACAACCAAAAACAGCATGAATACTTCATGTCATCTTAAAAATGACCAGAAGAATTGTTAAGGCTTTCTTGAACTGAAAAAGGAAAAGAATAACGCATTCACAAGTATGTTTGAAATTAGATTGTCAACCGCACCCGGATTGGATGGGTTAAATTCAACACAGAAGGGTGCTTTTAAGTAATCTCAACTATGAGCTGGTGGAGGTATCATAAGAAACGATGTGGGGTGACGCATGTTTGGATTTGAGTCTCACTCATTAGCTTATAATCACCTAATCAAGAAGAAAAGAAAACTAGCCCTTGGAAAATACAATAATTGTGAAATTGGACAAGGTAACGACTTGGCCTCTATACTTGTTTAATTGATATCATGATTCAACTTAAATCTTTCTTAAAAGGAAGTCATATATTCGAATTTTGGGAACCTAATAGAAATTCGTGAAGAGTGGATGGGTTTAGGCTCTCCTAAAGTGGACAGTAAGTAAATTAATAGTTTGAGCATGGAGGTTGAGACATTACAAATAATGTGCTTTTTTTTTAAGATCTATATTCTTTTGTCCAAACGGTTAACTTGCGTGTTGTTCACTTTGAGAGAACTTAAGCCCATCATGCCCCTTACAAATTTCCATAGCATCTCTAGGATTTGAACATTTGACATTTCTTTTGAGAATGACTTGAATTGAATTTTGGTGCGAATTGAGCAGTATGTCTATATCATGAAGGTGTGCATAGGAAATGGGGCATGGGGGCTGTCATACCTGACCGATGTTCAATGTTAATGTTAATCGTTTTACGACATTATTGGTAGATTTGATCGAGTACCAAATAACATGGCCCACTACATTCTAATTGGCCAAGAGATACACCATGTGAGCTCACAATGTCAATGTTGAGGTTTTTAAAGAAATGAAATAAAATTGAACACATTAAGAAATGATTTTTGTTATAAATAATGTTATTTACAATCGCTCACTACTGCAGTCACTCTACGTGATATACATGTAACGGTTAGTAATTTATTGCATAAAGTATATCAAATTACTAACCACCACATGTTTACCACATAGGTTGATTACGACAGTAAGCGACTATAAATAACATTATTCTTTTTTTTTTAATGTAATTCATATGCATATCATAAGTATACATCATATGCATGAGATTTGCTTATTGAGCATTAGCTTATTGAGTGTTATCCCTCCTCATTTTCAAATGAAGTCGAGATGATTTGAAATGACAAATTTGTGTGACACGGACTTAGTATTATCGTATTTAAATGTTACATTCTTTTTTCTTTTTCTTTTTTTTTTTGCGCAGTTAAACTTAACATTCAATTTAATTGTTCTATATTATCAAACACAAATTATTTTAAAATAAATAAGTTATCGATGTTTATTAAGTTAAAGAAAAATTAAACATTCTTTCCACATTTATGATCTTAAGAGAAAATTAAGGTCTTGTTTGACCACATTCTTAAAAAAAGTATTCTTAAACAGTGATTTGATATTATTTTAATCATACATTTTTTTAATAAAATAATATTACACGTAAAATCCAAACATTTCCTTTTTTTTCACCACACATTTTTCATCAATACACTATTCAAAAATACATTCTTATGAAAATAATGTGGCTTAAACAATGGCTAAATGATAAGATTTCCAAATCAAGGTATATATATTTGGCGTTGTTACTATCAGAGCTCAGAGTTACAAAATCGATTTTGTTAACTCTAAAAATATATATTTAAAAAAAAAAATGAACCACTATGTTCTTGCTACGATCATCTAGTAAACTTGAATTTTATTTCATAGATTGCTAATTTGAAATTGATGCATAATTGTTGTTATAGCAAAACAAATTTAGCCCCCCCCCCCCCCCCCCCCCCCCCCCTCAATGTTTTCTCTAACACAATATGTTTTCTGCAATCACCCAAAAAATTGATTTTTTATTGTTATTTCGCCATTTCAGCCATCATTTTTTACTTCTTCATTCACAAGTGGGACCCACTTTTTACTCTAACGATCAAAAAATCAATTCTCATAATCACGAATGAATAGAGCCTTAATAACGTTGTATGTGATTATAGAGATGCATCTAGTTGTGTTAGTGGATAAGTGGACGAGGCAATTGATGTTTAAAGTTTTTTAGTCGGATCATAAGTTTTCACATTCACCGTTGAGTATAAAAGCAACATCGACCCATATAGTTGATGAGTTTTTCTTCCCACTACTCTTTCTTACGAAAATTATCTAAAGCTCACTCGTGGGTAGTACAATATCATGAAAACAATAGTAACCTATATGAAAAGATGTAGAGTCCTATATTTAATTACGAGTCCAATATTTTTCATAAAATCAAATATCCCTCTTACACACATGGATGCACATCTAGTTTGTCATCACATTTCGAAGTTCTAATGAACTTGATTTGTAGGTAAATATGTTATTCATAAGCATAGATAAAAAATAACTTTTCTTGTAGACTTTTAATGTTGGATATTGTTAGATTTGGTTTAATGGACTAGCTTCGAGGTATCATGTAGTGATTGAAGTTACAAGAGAGGAAGTGGCATTTTTTAAGAGCCAAAAGTGCCCAAAATTTTTGACTATGTGAGAAAAAAAAAATTCAACTCATATTTCTTAGAAATTTATTTTATGTGCCTTTGTTAGTAAGATGTGTTCAAATTTAATTTAATGTTAGATTAACAAAATTATTAATTTATAGAAGTTTCCAAATTTATTATTTTCCGACTAGAACTTAAATATTATTGATAAAATTTTATTTCAACATTGATTTTATCTATATTGTGTCAATAAGTCAAAATTTTTGCATCTTTTGGGATATTAAGACTTTTAATTTTTGCATCCCAAATCCGGTTCGGCGGTTCCCGATCTGGACCAATCGGTCTGATCTAGTTTTAATAACTATGTTTGCATCTTTTGGGATAATAAGACTTGCACACAAGGCACTAAAAATTATTAATTTTTGTCGTTATCTTTCTTGTGCTTGAATTTATGCTTTACGTAATGATAAATTCATTATTCATTGTTTGAATCATATGAATACTTATCTGCACCATTTTCACACACACATATGTATATTAAATTTTCATGTTATTATCCTTAGGGTATTTAATTAAAACACATTGCTTATGTATTGAATTGAACATTGCCTAATCACTTTCGTCTTTGTTTTCTAAGAATTCTAATTTTATTAATTCACTACTCCAATTACTAGTTTGGTCTTTTCTTGTAACTATTTTGTCATATGAGTGTTTGCTACGTGATAATTCATCCTCTCAAAGACAAACAAGTAATTAAATAAAGTAAAGTTTTATATTTATTTATCAACTTATAACTTATATGTATATAGAGAAATCTAAATGTTTTATTTACAAATATTGAAGTCATCTCAATTGATTTCTACAAACTGTTATTTTAATATAATCTTACTAATATGTATGAGTACTTATATTTTTATTTTTTGAAAACATTAACTTATAAGATAATTCTTTTAGATTAAATAGGTTGTAAGAATTCTTTAGAATAATATAATGCTTGTCAATTTGATTATTAGAAATATTTATCAGCAGTGTTCTAAAAAGCTTGTCTAGGCACCACCTAGGCTTGAAGTTTGGGCAAAATGCCTCGTTTCACGCTTAGACTTTTTTTTTTTTTTTTTTTTTCAATTCTTAAACAGTTGAAATTTTTCACTCTTCTCTTTCGTTTTCCCTAAGTTCACTTTATTAATTTTTTTTTATTTTTTTCTTTTTATAAAAAGTCTTTTATTCAACTTTAGCTTCTTCTTTTTTATTTTTTTTAAAAAAAAAACTTTTCATTTGACTTTAATTTCAAATTTTTAAAAGATTTTGTCTATAGAAAGTTTAAAAATGACTTTATCTAAATAGTTAAATAAGATTTAAGTTATGGTGCTATCTACATTTATAATTATGACATGAGACTCATTATTTTGTTGCAAACTAAAAAAACACGTATAAAATTTCTATAAATCTATTAAGTAGAACTTGTATAGTTGAAAATCGAAACTACGAAAAATATTTTAATTTTTGCATGTCGAAAACTT